CAATCTTGATTCCAGCTTGTGCTTCATCCAATCCGGCATTTCACATAATGTACTCTGCATATAAGTTAAATAAGCAGGATGACAATAGACAGCTTTGACATATTCCTTTCCCAATTTGAAACCAATCTGTTGTTCCATGTCCAGTTCTAACTGTTGCTTCTTGGCCTGCGTACAGATTTCTCAGGAGGTAGGTCAGGTGNCCTAATTTTCTTGAAGAGATCTCTGGTTTTTCCCATTCTATTGTTTTCCTCTGTTTCTTTGCATTGATCACTGAGGAAGGCTTTCTTGTCTCTCCTTGCTGTTCTTTGGAACTCTGCATTCAAATGGGTATATCTTTCCTTCTCTCCTTTTCACAGCTATTTGTAAGGCCTCCTCAGTCAGCCATTTTGCTTTTTTGCATCTCTTTTTCTTGGGGATGGTCTTGATTCCTGTCTCCTGTACAAAGGCACAAACCTCCATCCATAGTTCATCAGGCACTCTGTCTATCAGATCTAGTCCCTTAAATCTATTTCTCACTTCCACTGTATAGTCATAAGGGATTTGGTTTAGGTCATACCTGAATGGTCTAGTGGTTTTCTCCACTTTCTTCAATTTCAGTCTGAATTTGGCAATAAGGAGTTCATGGTCTGAGCCACAGGCAGCTCCCGGTCTTGTTTTTGCTACAGTACAGAGCTTCTCCATCTTTGGCTGCAAAGGATATAATCAGTCTGATTTCGCTGTTGACCATCTGGTGACGTCCATGTGTAGAGCCTTCTCTTGTGTTGTTGGGAGAGGGTGTTTGCTGTGACCAGTGCATTCTCTTGGGAGAACTCTTTTTTTTCACTTAGCAAACACTTGTGAGTGCCTGCTCTCTGCCAGGCAGACCTGAGCCAACAGACTACCACGGTGAAAAGACTGACAAAGAAGGTCCTTCTTCGTAGGGTGCTTACTTTGTGGAAGGGGCAGAAAATGAACCATATATGTAAACAAGTGAATAACCAGATGCTCTAAAATACTGCGCAAGTAGTTGAGCAGTTGGCTGCTCTAGTTAGGTGTTAGGGAAGGCCTTTAAGAAGGTGACACTTAGGCTAAGATCTGACTGATGGAAAAGAACAAATCGAGAAAATCTGGGCCATAGAACATTCTAGGGAGAGGAAACAGCTAGTGCAAAGGCCCTGATAGAAACAAACAGAAGGAGAGCTGATGTGCTCCAGCAAGGTGGAGGAGGGTAGAAGTGGTGATATGAGATGAGGTTGAAGGGGAAGGTACAGACGAAATTGAGTGGATCTTGGTAAGCCAGGGAAAGAAGTTTAGATTTTATTCTGTCTATATGGGAAAGCCTTTGGAAGGTTTTAAGCAAAGGAATGACATTATATATTCTTTTACAGTGTATCCCTTTTGCTGCTGTGATAAGAATTTTTAAAAATTATTGTAAAATCTGCAACACAAAATTTACCTTCTTAACCATTCATTTAGGTTTACAGCTCAGCAGTCTTAAGTACATTCACATTGTGCAGCCAATCTCTAGGACTCTTTTAAGTTGCAAAACGAAAACTATATTCATTACACAGTAACTTCCTCGTCTCCTCCCAGGCTCTGGCCGTCCCTCTTCCAGTTCGTCTCTTCATCTGAGTGCTCTGTGTACCTAATATAAGTGAAGTCATGTAATAGTTGTCTTTTTGTGACTGACTTAGCATAATGTTGTCAACGTTCATCCATGTTGTAGCATGCTTCAGAACTTCCTTCCTTTTAGAGGCTGCATAATATCCCACTGTATGTGTAACACATTTTGTTTATTCGTTCATGGATGGTCACTTGGGTTACTTCCACGTTGTGGCTATTGTGAAAATGCTGCTGGGACCCTAGGTGTACAGATGCCTCTTTTAGACTCTGCTTTCAACTCTTTTGGGTATATGCCTAGAAGTGGAATTGCTGAATTTTTTCCCCCTATTTTTAATGTTTTGGCAAACCACTATTGTGTTTCCTGAAGTGACTACACCATTTTACATTCCCACCAAGAGTGTATAAGGATTCCAGTGTGTCCACATCCTTGTCAACACTTTTTTTTCTGTTTCTGTTTTTTTGTTTAATAGTAGCCTCCTAATGAGTGTGAGGTAGTATCTCATTGTGGTTTTGATTTGCATTTTCCTCCTGACTAGTGATGTTGAACATATTTTCATGTGCTTATCGGACATTTGAACATCTTTGGAGAAATGTCTGTTTCAATCCTTTGCCCATTTTATAATCAGGTTTTGGGTTTTGCTTGATTGTAGTTCTTTATGTGTGCATGCTTGTGTGCTCAATTGCTTCAGTTGTGTCCAACTCTGCAACCCTGTGGACTGAAGCCTGCCAGGCTCCTCTGCCATGGGATTCTCCAGGCAAGAACTCTGGAGTGGGTTGCCGTGCCCTCCTCCAGGGGATCTTCCCAACCCAGGGATCAAACCTACTTCTGTTACGTCTCCTGCATTGGCAGCAGGGTCTTTACCACTAACACCACCTATAGTTGTTTATATATTCTGGATATTAATCTCTTATCAGACATGACTTGAAAATATTTTCTCCTATTCCACAGGTTCCCTTTTCACTCTGTTGCACTGATGTTTTTATTTTGAAGTAATCCAAATTTATCTATTTTTTTTCTCTTGTTGCCTATGAGTTTCAGAATGAGATCTTCCTTATATGTGTTCTAAGATTATAGTGGTTTTCTTTTGTTGGAATAAGGAAAAGGGACTTCCTAGTGGTCCAGTCGCTAAGAGTCTGCACTTCCAATGCAGGAATCACAGATTGGACCCCTGGTTGAAGAACTAAGATCCTGAATGCTGCAGGGTGGCCGAAAAACAAAAGAATTAAGAAAAAGGCAGAAAATCTGACTAGAAATTCATAATTACCAAAGAAATGTAATTTCCAAGTTCAGTTGACTAATGAGCAAATTCTTCCAAACATTTAAAGAAGGCACATCACCAATCTTACAGAAACTCTTGTAGAGAACAGAAAAAGAATACTCCAGGATTCATTTTCTGAGGCTAGCATAATATCTGTGACAAGACTTGATAAGGATGTTACAAGGACGGAAAGTAACTGCTAATCTCACTTAAGAACACAGATGTAAAGATTGTAAGCAAAATATTAGCAAACCAAGTCCAACAATGTTTAAAAAAAGAGTAGCACAATATGATATGGTTTTATAGGAATGTAAAATTGGCTTAACCTCCAAAAAGCAATGTAATTCACCCAGCAACAGAAATTCTATGATTATCTAACAGATACAGAAAATTTTGACAAAATTAAATATCCATTTTATGGTAAAATTTTAACAAATTTAAAATAAAACAAAACTCCCTTGATTTGCTAGAGGGATCTACAAAAAACCTACCACCAACATCATACTTAAAGGTGAAATGTTCGAAGCTTTCCAGTTTTGGAATAAGACAAAAATGCATGCTCTCACTGTATCTATTTAGCATTGTACCGGGAGTCCTAGCCAGTGCAGTAAGACAAGATAAGAGGAAAACACATTGGAAAGATAGAAATTCAATGGTTTTTTGTGCCAATGGGATTATATGTGTAGGAAACGCAAAAAAGTTAAGAAAACTATTAGAATTAATAATTATGTATAAAACTTAGAATAAACCCAAGAACAATTGTGCAAGATCTTTCCAGAAAACTGTAAGCATTATTGAAAAAATTAACAGCTCAGTTAAGTAAATGATGCATCCTACTTACAGTTTGAAGATTTAATATTATAAAGATATCAGTACCATCTAACTCATCTCGAGATCAATGTGAAAGTGAAAGTCACTCAGTCGTGTCCTGCTCTTTGTGACCCCATGGACTATGCAGTCCATGGAATTCTCCAGGCCAGAATACTGGAGTGGGTAGCCTTTCCCTTTTCCAGGGGATCTTCCCAACCTAGAGCGATCTCTGCATGGCAGGTGGATTCTTTACTAGCTGAGCCACAAGGGAAAGCCCAATAAAAAAAAATCTCAGCAGTTATTTCCATATACTAGAATGTTAGCACACCAGAGTAGGCCAATGACCACAGACATTTGAAGTAACTGCAATATTTTCCTCTTTGGTAAGCAACATATATTGATATATTTTTATTTTAGAAGTTGAGGGGACTTAAATGACCTAGATACCCCAGGAAGAAGTTTTTAGTAGTTATTTATGGTTTTCACTTCTGTCATGAAAACCAATTTTTTTAAAAACCAATTTTAAAGGGCAGTCTTGGATCAGAATTCTCAAAAAGCACTTACTACAAGCAACTACTTTTCCCGCAAGTGCTGTACTGTTCCCTAGCCACATGTGGCTGTTTATACAATCCTGGTTAATTCATTAGTTGCACTAGCCCCATTTCAAGCACTCACTCAGTAGCCATGTGTATGTAGATAATAGCTACCTTTTGGATGCTGCTGGAGATGTTGAGCTTTTCTATTATTGCAGAAAGATCCATTGGACACCTCTCCAACAAGGTTCCCGACCTTTTTGTACAGACTCCAAGTAAAATTTTAGGTTGACTAGGGATGAGCAGCTGCTCCAGTATAATTTACTTCCCACCAAAACTAGGTGGTCAGTGGCCCACCTTAAAACTTAACTCACTCATTGGGTGTTGTTAGCGGGGTACCAGATGTTCTGGTTTAGAAAGTCAGTTAGAAAAATAATTGCAGTACAAATTTCAAACTATTCAACCTTGAGGTGTGGAAGCATTGTTTACCAGTGGACTGACTTCTTAGGTCAAGTCCTCACACCCCAGTTAAGTCAGATCTCAACCATTTCAGAAGGGTTTTGAAGAGTTTGCCTGGTGAAGGGTTGGCCGAAGGCCAGGGGAAATGCATATAAGTTTAAGGATTAGGAACCCTGGAGGACTCTAATAGGTTTTTGCCACCGAGATTCAACACTTGAGGAACCTGACTCTTACCTTACAATTGGACAACTTCCAAATGGTAATTTCCCTCCCTGTCCCCCACCCCCCCCGCTTTTTTTTTTCTTTTTTTTCTGTACTTGCCCCTCTCATTACATACCTGTATACAGTTAAACAAGAAAAGCTGTTTCAGGGTGGTCTATATTGTGCAAGGAAGCTTGTATGACAGATTCTGTTGCAAGATCTGTAATACCAGGTGAATCCATAGCAGGAGACAGAGGTTAGAAGTGGATTACATTGGATGCACCTAAAGGTGTGGTTGGGATTTATGCGTCTGTACTATGAAATGGGAGGCGGGGACCTTAAAAGTTTGGATGTAATCATCTCCAAATTGACTTGCTTTGGAAGACTGGCAGAGAGGGCTTTGAGGGGGAAGAGTGGCTAGATAACAGGGCTACATAATGGGGGTGTGGGGCTGGGGGAGGGAATGTGTTCATGGGGGCCCATTATCTCATTTTAGCTTCTCTTTGTAAGGAGTTGTAAAAGCCTGTGATGTGATTGCTGGAACTTTGAATTCAGCAGTTGCTAAGCACCTCCTGTTGTGTTTCATGCTCTAGGTTTGGACTTCAGGGTTATAGTCAAACAGTCTGATCTCTGAGTCTGACACGGGAGACAAATGTATTCAAATAATTACCATATTGTGTTATTCATACATAGAGGTTCAGAAGATCCTGGAACATCATTTTAGTCTGGTTCCCTAATTTTCTATTGGAAGCAGCTTTGGCCAAGAGCAGGCTGGAGACTGGTTTGAGCAATGCCAAAAGAACTAGAACCCGGGTTTTTTGATGATTGGCCTGAAATATGGTCTCCATCCTTGAAGACATATAATTCCTATCTAGTTAAAACTCACTTCTTGGATGATGTCCCCTTGACCTCCCTCTTTCCTTCGATAAAAACTATTTTGTCCTTGTATTTACTGCACTTTATGGAAGATGTTACATCCTCTTTTAGTTCTTGAATGTGATTATCAGGACAGCCACCATGCCAGCTTCTGTCTCCGTACCTGTCTCATTTCCTGTTCTCAGCACAATATAAAAGTCAGGTTTAATTGAGCCTTACAGTAGGACAAATTAGGGTTGAATCTGCCTCTCCAGAGATACACTGGACAAAGACACCCGGACAAATCACCTGCCTCTACATCAATAAAAATTCCTACCATTTAGGCCACATGTATACATATATTGTATTTGGAATCTGAATGAAGTCAGGTACTGTTTGATGGCTAAGTTTTGGAGGCGCTAGGCACGCACTTGCAGCAACATTGTGGGAGAGATGTGTACGAACTGGGAGCCTCGGCCGCCCGCTGCCGCGCGCAGCGGCGGCCTTTCTGTGCGCGGGGGGCGGGGCGGGGCATGCGCGACGGCTCTGTTGCCGGAACTAGTCCGAGTCGCGCACCGGGACGCGCGCAGCCCGCCCCGCCCCCTCCCCGCGGGTGGAAACAAAAGGGTCTCCGCGCGCCGAGACCAGCAGAGGGGGAGAGGGGCGGAGCGTCTGGCGGTCCTGCACCCTGGTCTCGCTAGGTTCGTTCCTGCGAGGGGTCGGAGTGGGCAGGTGGGCGACCCAGGGCAGAGAGTGGGAGGGCCGCGTGGTCGCGCATCTTGCGGCCTAGCGCCGGGGGGCGTCGCCTGCGCGCGCAGTGGAGCGTAGTGCGCCGGCGCGCGGCGAGTCCTGTCTTCGAGCACCGGGGCGGGGCGCGGCGCGGCGGGGCGGGGCCCCCTCGTGCAGCGGTGCGGGGCCGTGAGGCGGCCCGGGCGGTTAGGGCGCGGGGGCGGAGAGGATGGAGCCCCCGAGGCGTTAGCCGACTCTGTCAGGTCTGGGCGTGCAGCCGTAGTTTTGTGGCGCGGCCCGTGTGATGGTGCCGGGAGGAAGGAAGCGCCGTGACAGCGCCTGGGTCGGAGTTCGGGTTCCGGGGTTGAGAAGGCCCGGGAACGGAAGATCTGGCGAGCTGGCCGCTGGCTGGGCGAGCGGTCACAATAGGAGGCGGCGGCCCAGCGAGGAGCTGCGGGAGTAGCCCCGCAGGGCGGAGCCTCCCCTCGCAGGTACTGGCTGCCGCAGCCGTTGATTCCCGCAAGAGGGCGGGACGGACCGAGCCTCGGGCGGTTAGGAGCCTGCGGGGCCGCGCTAGAGATGTGGTTGCCTAGTGTTCAGCGGGGCGCGGCCGGGCCGCCCGGCGCTCTTTGTTCCCGGGCAGCGGCGAGGAGGTGCGGGCACAGCCCGAGGGAGCGCCAGCCCACCGCCGTCTGGCGCATGGCCTGGCTCTCTGGCGGCCTCCCTGTTTGCCCAGGCGCAGGTGAAATGATGTCACGCAGGAGAACGCAGAACCCGGTCCGCAGGGTCCTCTCTCGCGTCCTTCTGCAGCCGCGGGTTTCTGAACAGGCTGCATTTTGTTCTAGGGGATGGAAGTTCTTCCTTTCAGGGCTGAAGAATGAAAGAGGTGGGTTTTGAGCCGAGAGTTTTTCAAATTATTGAGGGATAAAGAGAATAAAGTTTTTATTTGCGTGTGTAGGACTTGTAAGACTTTGCTTTTTTATTGGTGCTGTGAAAATGATGTATTAAGTTGGGTGTGTTAATCTTCCACCGTAAATAGAAGCAAAATGTAATCTTTAATTGCCTTTTCTGTTTTCTTACGAGGCGCACTTAACACACGAAGATTTAAGTGTATGCAACTCATTCACAATCGTTTATTACCTTAAAATTGCAAGACTTTTTGGATCCTGTTTGGCCTTGATTGCAGGTACTGTTGTTAACACAATTATCGCAGAATTTCTTTAAATAGCTCCCAGCCTTGGTAACTAGGCTTAATTTTTTTTTTTAAATCCATTCCCTCAGTTTTTAAGAAATCAAAACTTAATGAGGATCTAGAGACAGTTGGGGTCAAATTTAAATTGTTTTTGTCTTCCATTAGGAAGAAATTTTGGGCTTCCTGCAAAAGTAACGATACAAGACCGAATGTAGGGATCAGATCATTTGCATTGCAGCAGACATGTACTTGTAATAAAAAGATTAAATGGAATTTTAAGTAGAAATTGTATCCAGCTCTTGCTCGCTCTTAAAAGTATTCGTGTAATTCACTTTTTGAAGACCTATTGAGCCTTGAATCTGTTAATTATAGGGGTTCAATTTTAAGTTGATATCTATAATTTTCTTTAAGGCTTGTTTCTAAAAGACTTGGTGGCCTTTAGAGGCTGTAGTTAAATAAATTTTGCCGCAGATTAGCCATGTGGGTCTCAGGTTCTTATCTGTAAAATACCAGTTGGATTTCAATGATCTCTGAGGTCCTTCCACTTCTGATAGCTTCTGTGACTCTGAAACGTAGTGTGTTCCTATACTTGTTGAATTTCATATATTCACCCTATTTTTATAGCTATACTAAGTTGGAAGTTATTAATTTGAATAAATATTGAGGATTTTCTATACTAAAGTAACCTGATTTTTGAGGAAGAGTGGATGGACAGAGGGTGACACTGATACACTTGAATATGTTAGCATCATAATGTGGAGTGTAGGCCTATTGTGTCTCTGCCAACTGCTTTGGACAAGGCTTTTAGTTACATCACTAGCCTGTTTTTATTTGTGCTCATTTTTTAATTTTCCCTGCAAGGAGGAGAGTGAGAAGTATGGGTGAGAAATCCTCAGATAAAAATCTCTGAAATAATTGATCAGTATGGGAAGATTGAACTCTGCCTTCTACTTCCAGTCTGTTCCATCTCTTTCTCTCTATGCTGCCCCAGTTTTGTTTAAGCCACCACCATTTTGTAATTCATTTTGCTGGTAAGGTAGCTCTTAATTAGGCCTGTGATCGTTGTGTAGTGTCTAGGTCTACTTACTAGTTTTCTAATTGTTTTTCTACTAACCGCATATATCAGACATCCATTTTCATGTTGTCTTGGTTAAATCATAGCTTGCTTTATTTATTCTCTGGACAGAGTATATGGATTGTAAACACACATTTGAACTCTATAGTTGTAGTCTAGTTCATTTGTTTAGCAAATGTGAAATTCTTAACATCATATTGTCTATTTGGAGATCACGCAAATGCTTGAACTCTATAATAATAAACAAGTAAGAAATTGGAGCAAGTAGACAAAGAGGGGCCATATACACAGTCTTGTCTTTCTTCCAGCTCTAATGTCATTTCATGTTCTTTTTTAAAGGATCTGAACACTTTCCCTTCTCTCCTCTAAGTTAGGGGACCCTGTTACCCTCATTTATTTCTATTGAATTTGCCCCTCACTAGACTGAATCTCTTTGAGGGCAAGAAGTATTTCTTTTTGTTTTCATAGTATCTAGCATATGATAGATATGCAATAAATATTTGAATTATTTTTATTTAGTAAGATTTATGAAGAGCTCAGTCACACTTCATTTTTTCAAGTGTTTATGTGTGTGTAAGTTTTTTATTGATTGGGAGTGTTCCTGGTTTAAGTATTTTCCAAATCCATATAATTCTTAGAAATAAATCTTGAAGAGATGGTTTAGAGCAATTTACAAAGCAACAACAACTTTGAGGTTACCAGCTTAAGTAAAATGGTTTAGAAACACTTCCTGAAGGGTAGAATAATCCTTATGCTGGCAAATTCTGGATTGTGAAAGTGAACGAAAGAAAAACTTAATAGTAGAATGTATAACTCTTATTTTTCCTAACGTTTATGTTCACCAGTTCAGTACATATAGTGGTTAGAGACTTCCTTAGTTGCACCTTCTTCACCCCTCCCCGTTAATTTGTGTGACTAAGGGGTGAGAAAGAAGGGTGGAGCCTTTCAGCTATTTTCACCAACCCTGATTTTGCTCTGCTCCCCCAAAGACATGGATCCAGTTTGTTGTTGTCCTAACTCATGAATGGGAATAGTAATTTATTTTTTTTTAAAGTATCCCAGTACTGGAAAGTAATGATCCTTCTCAGGTAAGTAGTACCAGTTCTTAAATGGTTTAAAAACTGCATAATTACACATATCATAAACTGACTTAACAAACACTTGTTAAATGTTTAGGTTACTTCTAGTTCCCTTTGAAATTGTTGCTTTGATGTGATGAACATATTTATGCATATGACTTTTCTCGTATTTTGAAATATAACCTGAGAATTTATCAGATAACAGATCAATGATTTGAACTGTTGTTAATAAAATCTCCCTGATTACTTTCCAGGAGATTAACATTTGCCATCGTGGAAGCAGTGAGAATATCTGGATTTTTGTATAATTTGGATCTGACCTCTTCATTTTTTAGGTACCCAGACTTTGACCAAAAGGAGTAAGGGACTTGTTGGAGTCAACAACCAAGCATCTAACTCATCATCTTTTGTTCTTTCCTTTTTTGTGTTAGCCTGTGATTTTACTGCCTTTAAACAGTTGGTATGCAACTTGTAACAGTGGACAGGTTTTTTTTTTTCTTTCCTGGAGAGTATTGTTACCATTTTGGAGAAGACTGTTTGGCGTTTTGAGCAATTTATTTTGTGGAAGGTACACATTATTTAATACTGGCCTAGAGGTTATCATACACTTGTATATTTTCTACTTTTATGAGAAAAATGTAAGTGAACAAAGAAGGAAGCTGTCATCAGAAGTGATTTTTGCCTATGGCTGATTCACATTGTTGTATGGGCAGAAGTCAACAAAATATTGTAAAGCAGTTATCCTCCAATTTAAAAAAAATGCCATACAGGATTTTGTTAGTTTTAAAGGAGTCATATATAGTAGCTTCTAGCACAACCAACATAAACATCCATGGTAGAGTGTTGTTGTTTTTGTTTGTTTGTTTGTTTGTTTTAGTGATTTTGGAGGACACTGATTCTGGGACTCTATGGACCTAAGTTCTGTGTTATTTTTAACACAATAACTACTGCAATTTACCACAGTGATGATAATAATAGCACACTCTCAAACACTGAGGTTAAGTTGTTGGTAGCATGGCTACCAGGCCGGGGAAAGGCCACATTAAATAGAAGATGACCTTAAAATAGTAATATATTGTGTCTTAAAAGGTTAAAGTGTTTTCTATAATTTCAGTCTTACAAAACAGTAAAGAGTTATGCTGGATGAACTAGTCATATTGTTATATGTAACATTATAAATGAAAAGTGTGTGGAGTTGCAGGCTCAGTCCCATCTCAGGGATGTTTCATGGCAGGACTTCTAAAATACAGTTGCATCCCGAAAGAAGTACCATGTCTTTGTAATGCTCAGTAGTTGGTATGTTAGGGGAAAATAGAGCTGCATTGGTTTTCAGATACTGTATAACCTGACTAATTTTAACTCAGGGAGAGTTAGGGAAGTAGCAGAAGTCAGAAACAATTTCTAAGGAAGCATTTATTTTTAAGTACTTAAAATAGCTTTAAGTAAATAGGCATTGTGGAATAGTTGCTAGTTACTAATCCAACTAGATAGATTACAAAGAAGAATGTTACTTTTAAAATTCTGCAATTAGAAGGTGGTTTAGTGGGTTGAGTCTGAATCTTAGAACCAGATACACTTGGCTTCAAATTATGGCTCTGGTATTTATGTTTCACTTTAAGCAGGCAAGCTGGTTAACCCTAACTTGTAGCATGTAAAGATCAGAAAGCCCAGTTTGATTCCTGGCATGAAATTTACTGTTACCGAATTGAGGTTTTAAAAACTGCTATATTGCTTAGGTATTTTTTTTTAAGTTTTATGTCTTTCATAATCAAATTAATACAGAATTTTTCTCTAGAATTCTGGAGAAGAAACTCCTTGAGTATGGTGCCCAGTTTTTATTCTGTTACGTGAATGTTTGTTGTGTGAGTTTTCTATTGTGTGACAAATCGCCACAGGTTTAGTAGCGTAAAGCACATCTTGTTACCTTACAGTTTCTGGATCAAAGTCCTGGTGTGGGTGAGCTCTGGAGCCTCTGTCAGGGTCTTATTTGGCTGGGCTCTGATTTTATTCGAGACTTAATGTCCTCTTCCGAGCTCGTTGTTGTTATAATGTGGTTCTTGTGATTATAGGACTGAGGCCCCACGTTTTCTCGGAGGGGATCTTGATCTTCTGGAGCTATCAACTATCAGCTGATGACCGCTTTTAGCTTCTGGCTGCCCTCAGGTCGCTACCATTCATGTGCCTTCTCAGAACAGAGCAGCTGCGTCTGCAGGGCTGGCAGGGGAACCTGTTAAGGAAGTGCTCAGCTTCTCTTCCGAGAGCTTTCTCCGATTGATAATCTCCCCTTCGATTAACCTAAAAGTCACTGGAAGTCTTACTTATCTCTGAAAATCCTTTCACCTCTGTGAACGGGTTTGTATGGTTTAGGTCATGATTGAACCCAGTCAGGGGATGAAATTCACCATGTTTACAGTGCTCCCCACATGCCACGCAGGGTGGAGGGACACACCAGAGGTGGGCATCCTGAAGGCCATCTTAGAACTCCCTCTTCCCTTCTCTCCCCTTACCCCTCTCCCCCATGTCTGCAAGGCCCAGGGTTTGTCAGTTTTTTATGTATTACTGAAACTTGTTTTCCCAGCCAGCTTTTGTACTAGCAGTTTGTAAGAGTGCTGCTCACACTTTTCAAATTTGTAAGACTGCTTAAGTGTGATAGTTGATGGTATGTCACCTTTTTAAAACACTCTTCGGGTGTACTTATTGTGCAGATTATAAACTTGTAGAAGGAACATGAAGCCTGCATAAAGGAACAGGCCATTTTGAGAATTACTTTAAAGTGGTAAAAAAAAAAATAAAGTGGTAAAAGCACTCCTTAGATTGAATGGAGTCAGGAATGTGAAAAATACTTCTTCCTGTGAAATATTTTCTTCCTCCTGCCCTCAGATAATGCCATGGCTCCGACCTCTATTTTTTTTTTAAAAAAAACAAGAATAAGCTCCTTGAGCATGGGATCCTTGTTTTCTTTTCTGACATAACTCTTTGCCTATAGGAGGCAGTCAGTAAACATTCCTTGATTCACTCATTCCTATTTCATCACAATGGTAAAGGACATTAACACATGCATGTTTATAGTACAGAGGTGAGCTTTAGTTCAGGTCCAAAGCATTTTGTGGAGCAGTACTAATAAGTTCTAAAATTACTGCCTTCAGTCCTAGAAAAGTCTTTGGAAGTAGTTATTTTCTTAGCAGCAGGCCTAGTTATCTGTTGATGGGGCTCATAGCAAGCCAGAAAGAAAAGTTTCTAGAGGGGCTAACAAGTTTACTATAGCAGCATTATTCGTATAATTAGCTTGCCACTCTATGATCTGTCTGTCCCTTCCTCTCTGGCTGCTTCCTTACTGACCAGTTACGCTGATCATTTTGTAGTTTCTTGACAACGCTGTTTCTTACCAATTACCTCTCCGTAGCACCAGTATGGACCATTACCACAGAAAGGTACTTTTCTATACTGTATGGTGATCTGCTTTTCTTTTTATTGCATATACTTCTTGAAGGTAGAAAATCATGACTGTTTTTGTTTAGTGCCTGTTACAGGATAGAGACTTACATGTAAGGGAATGAGTGCAGCAATGAAACGAAAAAACAAGACAGCCTTAAAGCACACGGTCTTTAGGGACAAGCAGGTCCACAACGCTTAATCCCGAAGGGCAGTTCACTCCACAGCACAGTGGAGTGGTGATTGATACTCATCATGTCTGGTCAGAAGTGCTACAGATTAAGAATATTTACATGTGAGTTTAGGGCATTAACTCACAGTCTAGTCAAGCATTTAAAACATGCAGGCATTTACTTTGAGGCTTATGATCTTGTCCTTTATTCATTAAGTAGGTTCCTAGGTTTGTGTTGAATAGAGCTGAGGTCTCCACAATATAAATCTTGTTTTTTATACCTGTGATCACTATAGAAGTTTGGCCATAGATGTTAACTAAAGTCTCTTCCCTTGCCTGATAATTTGGAAGGTTAACTAAAAGAGAGAATGAAAAATTAATCATAGCCAGGTAGACACTAATCTTTCTGTACTTAAGTGATTTTTACTTCTGGTTTTCTTGACATGAAATCTTACCTATCATTTAAGATTTCAGAATTAATGCCAGCAGGAAAGATATCGATAGGTACTACATGGGAAGCATAGGAAGGACTTGGCGTTCTTGAGCAGTGCTGTTTTGCCTTTAGAGAAAGTTTTTATAAGAGAGATCCATTGCCAGAGGCAGTCTTTGTCTTCCTTATGTTTGTTTTGATGTTTAAGATTAATTTTTTATTTCTTTTGCTCTGCTAACAAAATCATCAAATACCTAGAAAATCCAGACTGTCCTTCATAGGCATAATTCTCCACATTGGTGCAGCTAGCCATGAACTATCCTTTTCTTCTCCCTCTTTTTCCCAGATATCTCCCGGGGCCAATTCAGCACCTCTACCTGGCCATCCTAACAAGGTGATTTGTGAAAGGGTGAGACTTCAGAGCCTGTTCCCTCTCCTCCCAAGTGATCAGAATACTACCGTTCAAGAGGATGCTCACTTCAAAGCTTTCTTCCAGGTTCTTATATATTTACCCTTTGCCTTCGTAGGGCTGAAAGTCACAAGATACATACTAGGTTGTCTCTAGGAAGGCTTGAACCAACATTCTTAGTATCTTCCTACTTCTTGTTTTCTATTGTTTGTGGGAATAAGTATTCTTCTTAGAGGACATCTTTAACTTATTCAGCCAGCTTTTCTGAAGAATGTCTTCTCTTGAGCTGCTGTTACTATTTGACCACTTAATATTCTTGTTTTTTAATCTTTTGGTCTTAATCACGCGTCCTAATAGGTCAAGTTCTGTAGAAAAGTAGAAGATACTACAGAATATGTGAAATTGTATAGAGAAAGAAAAATAGAAGTATGTAAGATATTTTTTAAAGCCGTCACTGCTTTGATAGTAATGCACACTACAGAGTTTGATAGTGATGCACATTTCAGAGAGAAAATATGATAAGTTGCCTTCTATGACTTTTGATACCTATGGGTAAATGTGTTTAAAATTTCATTACATATGAAATGAAAAAAAATTAAGGTATAAATGGATTTAAACTATCATTAGGTTATTAACAAGATTATTACTAGGATGTGCTCACAGAAATCGTTGACTACTGTATTTAAAATCCATTACTCCCCGAGATTCAAGATTTAGTAATGGAAGTCATCATTACCAGAAAGGAGACTAAGTTACAGAATTGCTTCTGGATACTAGGGTTGTGGGCCAAGACATGTAATTGTACATGTTGAGGTAGTGAGAGTTGCTAGTCAAAGCTAGGACTTTTGGATAGAGCCAGCTTACTTTCTGTTCATGTGGGGGTGGTAGGCTGGGACTTGAGGCCGCTTCTGAAAGAGGACTGTGTATGCCACGTTGGAGAGGCAGGATTTAGAAGCTGGCGTGGAGGAGGAGCGTGTGTAGGTGATCCAGGGCTCTCAGCCTGTCATTCCTTGTTGATCTGTGTCTCAGGTTCTCTGCTTGGCGTCTGTTGTCTCCTTTTGTTTTTAGCCATCATAATAAAGTTCATCTGGATGGTTTTCTAGATGAAGAAGTAGCCTCAGAGAATCTCACTGAGATACCCAATTTACATATCTAGTTAATTGACAGAATAGAGACTCAAATCCAACTTCAGCTATTTCTTGTCTCTGTCATACCACATTACTGGTATTTCTGTAAACACAGTTCACTGCATGTTAAAAGACATCATTTATTGAATTGCATGACATATTTACTGCCGTTTTGGATACAGCATTAGCTTGCAAGAACTTGATCTTTGGTAGTAACTAATGAAGAAATTGGTTTCATACCTCCACTACTGCCACCAGTAAGCAGTTATTTGACACTTTCTGCGTTCTCTGTACTTCCTCTGAGTCTTTAAGCATTAAGGTAGCATTAATTAAACTCAAAGAGTAGCTGCCAAATGCAGTAGATTAAAACCCATATTTTGAAAATAAAACCAAAAAGTTAGCCAGTTCCACTTGAGTGTTAGCAGAAAAGTGAAAGGTTTTTTTTTTATTTGTAGTCCTAATTTAACTTAAACCTTTCTTTGCTCTAACTTAAAAATCAGGCCCTCAGTGTACTTTGCTCCCACGAGAGACTGGAGATTTTCTTTGTCCACTTACTACCCCTGCCACTGTTGCACATGAAGCAAAGTAAATCCTTCTCACATCCCCTTTGAGATGTTGTCAGGTACTTTCAACTAATTCTGATACCAAAATTGAGTGTGCTGTCCTGGTTCCAGTTATGGTTCTCATCATCATAAAACTGAGTTGCCAAATGAGAAGGAGAACCTGGGCAGCCGTATCCTGCTGCTCAGAACGTCACTGCCGTGCTGCATTGCTTTCTCGCAGCTTTGCTCCAGGTTCTTTCCCTCCCAACTCTTTCTACTTTTCCTTTCACTTTTTACTCCATCCATTCCAAACAGAATCACCTTACCTCTTCCATTTTTTTCCCTAAAACACCCCCTCTACTTCATATTTTAGCTGAAACTATTCTCTTTTATGAGGACATCATTTCTCCTATAGCCTTCTCTAGAAGTAAAGAAATGATTGGCTTTTCGTGCTTCAAGCGTGGAATTGGATATGTGACGAGTAAGTAGGATGGCCACAGAGGTAAAGGCAAGTGTTGACACTCTCCTGGATCCTTGTGTTTAACCATCAGTCTTTGAACAAAAAGCTCCTCCTATTTTTGATCTCTTTTTTGCCTTTTGTCTTCACTGCTTAACCGAGTTTGCATCACTATCCTTGTTTGTTACTTTTTCACTCTGTTTTTGCTTATTTTTCTAGTCAAAATATTTCAAATTTTGGGTGCTTTTTAATTTTTAAAATTATGAAATATTTCACATATGCATGTTGTAAAGTATGAAGATGTATGTATTCAAAAATCTACCTTCTAGTTTAAGAAATCAACTATTACCAATATTTTTGAACATTTCTCTAAAAATGATGGTTTTGTTTTTCTTGCTTTGAATTTTTTTTACAAAAAAGGTTTAAGAAGCACATTTAAATCTCTATAAAAAATAAGCCTATATTTAAAATTAGAATCAAGGTGCCTATCATTTTTTAATTTAAAATTAAGGCATAATTACAGTGGAATTCACCTTTTTTGTGTACAGCTCTGTGAGTTTTGACAGAAGCATACAGATGTGGAACCAATACAATCAAGATATGATAGTTTCAGCAGCACCCCCCCCCTCCAAATTCTGTCACATCTGTTTGCCATCAGCCCCCTGCAGTTTTAAAATTAGCAGTTGCGTATAGCACAGGGAGCTCGACTCGGTGCTCTGTGATGACCTGGAGAGGTGGGAGGGAGGTCCGAGAGGGAGGGGATGTGTGTGTACACACGGCGGGTTCACTTCCAGTGTAGCAAAGCAGTCACAGCCAGCAAACGTAGTGAGCACTTACTGTACCACCAGCCAGCTCGGTGATTGTGAGTGGAGATTGCCCGCTTTCATTCGAAAGTCAGCTGCATTGTGAGGAACTTGAATTTCAGATGTGGCACAGCCCTTGATTTCAGGAGTGTGTGTGTGTTTAACACACACATTATTTTTAATATCCTTTTCCATTACAGCTTATCACGGGACAGTGAATATAGTTCTTTGTGCTATACAGTGGGAGCGTGTTTATCCGTTCTGCGTGTAAAAACTTGCGTCAGCTAACCCCAGCCTCCCATTTCATCCTCCAGCCCGCTCCCCCTTGGCAACCACAGGTCTGTTCTCGATGCCCGTGGGTCTATTTCTGTTTCGTAGATAGGTTCATTTGTGTCGTACTTTAGATTCCACATATAAGTGGTATCATATGGTATTTGTCTTTCTCTGACTTTACTTTTTATGGTAATCTCTAGTTGCACCCATGTTACTGCAAATGGCATTATTATCATTAATCTGAGTAGTAGTCCACCTTATTTATATATTTTATATACATATAAATAAATCATATTTCCTGATTCATTTATCTGTCAGTGGACATTTAAATTGTTTCCATGTCTTGGCTATTGTCTGTAGTGTGCCTATGAACATAGGGGTGAATGTATCATTTTGAATTAAGAATTTTGTCTGGATATATGCCTCAGAGTGGAATTGCTGGATTGTATGGTAATTTTAGTTTTCTGAGGAAACTCAGTACTATTTTCCATAGTGGCTATACCAACTTAGAGTCCCACCAGTACTGTAAGAGGTTCCCTTTTCTCCTCAGGTATGCATCTTAATACAGCTAGATAACAACTTGAATCTATAAATTTACTGAAGTTAGGTGATTGATTGAAATTTGTTGATTTATACAAATAAAGAAATACATTGTTTCTGAAAGAGAAGACTACTTATTGTAAAAATGTCTATTAAGTTCATAGACGTAATAAAAATTTCAGCCAAAAAAATAAAGGAAAAATTTCATTTTAGAACTTTATAGTTATCCTTAAATTCATAAGGAAAATTAACAAAGGAAACACAGGAACTTTTCCCAAAATTGTCATAAAGGGAAATATGCCACAATGATACTAAATCATATTGTAAAGAAATAATTCCATATTATTGAGTTCCATGTTGTTTAAATCCAGTGGTTGTTTTTCAACCCTCCTTCTACATGACCTCTTAATTAAGTTGGTGAAAAAATAATTGAGGTTTCGGACCTTGAATTTTGAGTCATTGTAACTATGCTCAAACACATCTTTATTGATGAAAATAGGAATCATTACAATCAACAGATTTTTGCCAACGAGAAATAAGTTAGTTTATTCCCATAGCATAAAAATTTGTGCCTTGGGATTCAACTGACTCTTGGAAAGCATTTTCCGCCTCCTGCTGGTTGTGGAAGCATTTTCCCTGCAAAAAAATGTTGAGATGGTTGAAGGAAGTGGCAGTCAGTTGCCGAGAAGTCGGGTGAACATGGTGGATGAGGCAAAGCTTCGTAGTCCCAATTCACTCAGCTTTCGCAGCATCACTTGTGAGATGTACGATCAGATGTCGTCGTGGAGAAGAGTTGGGCCCGTCCTGGTGACCAGTGTTGTCTGCGGGCTTTGCGGTTGCAGTGCATCTCACTGATTTGCTGAGCAGACTTCTCAAATGTAGCAGTTTCACCAGGGTTCAGAAAGCTGTTGTGGATCAGAGCCGCAGCAGACCACCAAACATTGACCGGGACCTTTTTTTGGTGCAAGTTTGGCTTTGGGAAGTGCTTTGGAGCTTCTTGGTCCAACCGCTGAGCCGGTCGTATAAAATCCACTTTCTGTCACACATCACAGTCTGATAAGAAATGATTCGTTGTTGTTGCGTTCGAAACGATATTTTTGATTTTTCGATCAGCTCATGAGGCACCACCCACTTACCAAGCCTTTTCACCTTTCCAGTTTGCTTCAAATGCCAAACGACTGTAGAATGGTCGATGTTGAGTTCTTTGGCAACTTCTCATGTAGTTGTAAGAGGATCAGCTTCAGTGATCCTCTCAATTGGTCATTGCCAACTTCCAACTTCCATTATGCTTGTTATCGTCAAGTCTCGCATCTCCTTTGCAAAACTTGAACCACCGCTGCACTGT